TTTTTATATTATGTTTGGTTTAGTTTGGATGAATTTTTTTAAATGGTAATCAATAATAATATATTATGATGCTTTTGTTTTTCTTATATATATAATATGTTTGGATTTTTTTTCTTTCAAATATCATCAATAATTAAATATATAAGTATATAACATTTTAATTAAAAAATAATAAATTATTATGATACATAACATGACAAATTTAATAATATAATAGCTTCATCTTTTTTTTAAATATAATCAATAATTAAATATTATGAGATAGCATTACTTGTTGTACAAATTGTGTAATGGAGTCAAAGGAGATGCCACCTCAAACTTATGTTGATTGTTGAGGAATAGCATGCCCACTTATAACTAATACTTACTTGTGATAAAAGTAATATAATTATTGAAATTTTAACTCTCTGTCTTTCAGCCAAGGCCCCTGGATTGAAATTTGAATCGATCTCACTGACTTAATAATTAAACAATAATACCTTAGATACTAACAAATTTTATTAACCAGTGTACTAACCTAAAGCATAGTATGGATACCATACGCATAGTATAGGTACCATATGTAATTTTAATAAAAGGTAGTACACTGGTTAGTAAAATCCGTTAGTACGCGTAACATTACCCATAATTAAATTTTAAATATTTTAAATATTGAAAAACACGTGTATACATTTGGTAATGCATGAAATGTGGGCCACACACAGGTGAGCAATCCATTGGGCCAGTATGATCAATCCTTCATTAGGCCTATTTGTCATCCCAGGCCCATCTCAACCTGCTTCATTAAACTTTATGTTTATAATGGCCACAAACAGACAAGTTAAAATTCTAAAACAAATTAAAGTAATNTATGATAGTTGTGCAAGATGTTTGAAATTCTGCCTCAGTTTCCTTGAGCTTAATCTCGAACTTCTTACAAATTTGAGTGACGACCTCTTCAATCTCTCGCTCACAATCAGATTTCAACTGAAGCTTAGTTTCTTCATGGATCTTTATGGTTTTGTCTTTATCGTTGCATATTCTTTCCAATTCCTTCTGAAGAAGGTCATGATACAAGTGTTGAGTCAACTGGGATGTTACTAGGGCTCCACTTGGTAAAGTACGATTACTATGTCTAAAAGGAACTGGTGTTATGTTTGTGTCACATTCATCAGTTCCCAATTCATCAGTAGGAGTAAGGGTGAGCGGTTTTGGGTACCCTTCATTTCTCAGGGGAGAACCGAAACCGGAACCGCATAGTATAGGTTCCCAAAAAAAGGAACCAGAACCGAAACTGATAGGTTCTGATTCATAAATTCAAGGAACCGAAACCTAAAATGCAGGTTCCGGTTCCTTACCCGGGTACCCTGTAAGAAATCAATTACCCCCTATTAGTTTAAAAAATAACAAAAATACCTTAAAAGTTTACAAATACATCCTTAAAAAATTAAGAAAACCTACATTTAGTAGTTTTCAACTTTTGATTACTCATTCATTTGTGTCCAATGTGACTCATAAATCCTCTAATCTCTAGGCAACACTTGAATTTAATCAATTCACATAAAATTCTCAATCAAAACCAAAACACAAACAGGTTCCAAGCAGGGTACCGGCTTTAGGTTCTTTTCCCAGGTTCCGGTTCAAGTTCTAGAACCTATTGGAACTAGAACTAGAACTGCACAATGTCGGTTCCAATAAAATGGAATCAGAAGCTACCCCCACAGTGTCAGTTCTAATTCCGATTCTACTTGTTACTCGTGCTCACCCCTAAGTAGGAGTTTGGTATTGGTCCAATAAGTCACAAAATGTTTGTAAAAAATGATTACAAGATATTGATTTTAAGCCAAAACCCCAAAGATATGAGTTGAAAAAGCTAAGTAAAATAATTTGGCCTTATATAAAAAATCCATCAAGTGAAAGAAATTATTCAAAATGCATAAGCCAGTCAAACACAAAAGTCTGTGCTATTGTTTTAATGGAAACCACAAGTTTTGCAATTTTGGGTTAAAAATTAGTTTTTGGAAAAATTTTCTTAAATGCTCTAAAACATGCCCAAGAGATGTGAGGGTGTTTAGAACACGAAATAGCTTCCAAAGGGAAATTAAACATATACAAAAAGTGAGCAATATTCCAACTAATTCATAAAACAAATTATGAACATGGGAGATGTGTTTTGATGCTTCAAGTTATCGTATTACATGCTGAATAGATATAATATGCATAAAATAAATTATGATATGTTGAATAGATATAATATGACATGTGAAGAGATAAAACAATAAAGAACAGTAAAGAAAAATGTTTCTTATCATGATGAAACTTTCTGATTAACGATGTCAGTCGGAGGGAGTTCCATGTCTCTTCTCATGTTGCAAGTCATCATTGACAGATGATTCTTAGGGCCCCAAGGTGGGTGCCAAACTGTAGATGCAAAAAATCTATGGTTACAGAAGTAAGGTATGATCCTGTGAGGTTGAGGCCACTAACAATCTGCCAAACCTGCACACACGAAGAGACAAGCGTGAAGCTTACGGAAAACATCGGGGTGGTGTTTGTCGTAGGCACTCTGATGCTCAAGTCAACAAGGCTGAAAGAGGTGATTTAATAAGAATTAAAGAAAAGAAGGATTACCGGGAGCTTTGTCGGAGGCCAGGACCACGTCGAAGGTGTAGAATTCTCAGAAGCAAGAACTTGGGAGTAAGTAGGTGATTTTGAGTGGTAGAGACTGAATATTGGATCATGGATCCCTTATGAGAGGGCAAAACTCTGTTTATATAGTAATCATAGGATCTTTGAATCCTAGTAGGACTCTAAATCCATAATGATAGAAGTTTAGTGAATAGGAAAATCTTTGACTTACTTGCCCTTAGAATAGTAAGAGTCCTAATTTGGAAGATAATCCCTATCAGGAAAGAAAGATGATTTCTTGTCCTTATCAAATTAGGTTTATTAATTTCAGTAAGATTCAGGATCTTAGTAGAAGAGGAAATAGAATGAGATTCTGATTTCCTATTTATAAACTGTTGTAGGCTATTGGGCCAGAACCCAGTTTAGCTTGACTCGTACGATAGTCCAACTCATAGAGTAGACAGTTCTCAAGGTGATTTTTAGTATAAACCGAACCGGAATTGAGCTAAGGTCTTAGGTCGTGACATGTTTATTTTGTTGTTGGGTCTCGTCAAGTCCAAAACGATTTTTTGCCCATACAATCACAATGGTAAAAGGAGCCTAAAAGTTTTACAAAATTGATAGATTGTACAACATCTCACATCAATTTTCTAAACCCTTTTCCTTTGTCAATTTCCCAATTAAAAATAAATTCTTTTTAAAAAAGTATCTAAGAAATTAAGCAAAATACAAATATATATTTGGTTTACGTATACTTTGTTTCTCGTTTTTTGTTTTGATTGTACATAGATATGACTTTTGAATAAAACCAATTCTGTGAATGGAAAATTGCAAAACATTCTTTTATTTTTTTCTGAGTGTGTTATTTTCCAATATTCTTGCTTTGGAAGATCTTTTATGACCAGAGACGTAGCTAAGATTCTGAGTCAATAGGTTCAAAACATCAAAATTGATAAATTTACAATAAAATATATACTGAAGTGATAAGCATAAAAATTTGACTTTCAAAAATTATATATACCAAATTATCAATTCTACAATCGTTTTCGACGATTTTTCATATTCTAAAAACATTGCATAATCGCTCCATTGACAATTCTATCAAATATCTCTCTCTCAATATATGTAATAAAACAGTCATTTAACAATTGATCTCCCATTTGATTCCGTAGTCAATTTTTCATAATCTTCGTCATAAAAAATGTTCTTTCAACACTTGCCATAATTCATTTTGTGTTAAAAAAAAATGTTAATTACTAATTCATTTTGTGGGGTTAACATGAAATTAAGTAGGATTAAAATTATAAAAGTCATGAAACAATAAGTCTTTTTTGAAATTTTTAAAAAGTTGAGTAGGTTCAATTGAACCAACAACTCTCTATGTGGCTACGTGCCTGCTCATGACCATATGACCTATTAGTCAACTTACACACTTTATACAAACTAAGGTGACATAAAATGAATGATAATTGTTTATAAAAAGTTAACTTGATCAACGAGTGGTATTACATGTATAAACTAAATATACGAACTAACATAACACTACTCTTTAATTGATACGATATTCGAGAGTTAATTGCAACAATCGCCCCATATGGTTTCAAAGATTGAAAGATAAATGCTAAGTAAGAGTTGAATTTGGGCTCATGCCCTACTTGAAATATTAAGTTGGCAACCAGACTAGATATAAAATAAAATTTTATAGTGATTAATTAGTAATTTCTTGTATTGATAATTCTATTTTAAAACTCGGACCAGACCAGTCGATCGGACCGAGACCCAGCAGCCTCTCCAGTTCGGTTTAGGTTCTAGGAGGTTTTATGCTATATTTCAAATTTTTAGGGATTAATTATAATTTTTTAGGTTTTTTTTTTTTTTTTTTTTGAAACATTTCAAAATTAGGGACTAATAATTTGTGGAAATTTTAAAATAAATTAAAATTTTAGAGACTAATTTAAAATTTATCAGGGTGTTTTTTATAATATACTAAATTTAAGGAACTAAATTACATTTAAAAAAGAAAAAAAAAAACTTTTGTTCTACTGTCCTTGGTCCAACAACCAGTTGATTTAATAGGTTGAACCAATCAACCTATGACCCGATCACCTTGTTGGGTCGAGTTTTAAAACAATGATTGATACATGTGCCTTCTTCTTTGTTTAAAGAACAAAATTTAGAAGTGGAAGCTAAAGCTTTATAATAATAGACTTGATAGAAGGAGGCATTATATTACATACATTGAAGTTAAAGAATGCATTCAAAGTTTTATAATCAAAGAAGCATAGATAATGCTTGTTGTAATTGTTTCAACAAATTTTAAGAGATGTTTATTTTTCTTTTGTATATAGGTTATAGCCAAAATGTCATTCCATAAAATCTTGGATGCCATTGCATAGGTCAACGTCGGCATACTTAAATCAAATAAAATCTGGCAATTGAATTCACATTCATCACTCTCATCTTTACACCAACTATAACTATAAATGGTACTACTTACAAGCTTAGCTAGCTGCTGCACCAAGCTCAAATATTCCTATATTCTATAACCTTGATTCGATGAATAGCATCATCTCCAACAAAATAATTGCATGAGCACAAGGAATTCAATAATACTATTTACTAATTGTGAACCTCTTCATATGATATGCCAAGCCTAGAATGAAGGGAAGAACCTATTAAGGTTGAACGGCAGCGAATAGAACTCTTCACTCCTTGTATCCCGTTCGAAATACCGGAACTTTACCCACCAGTGCCTGCCACTGTCTCGCCGGGTTGCGCTGTGCCCAACACTGTGAGTGCAGTCCAAGAAGTAAGCAACCATAATGGCCACTGTCGCTGGGGATGAGAAAATCACTTGAAATATGTTGTTGAACTGTAAGCAGAAACAAAATCAACATAACTTCATTGTTGTTAATGAATAAAGTAAATGAATAATGGTCAGACTAGGAAAAGGAAACAAGCAGACAATTTGTTGTATATACCGCTGTTGAACCGGAGTGCACTGGGCCACGACCAGAAGTCACTATATATTCATTGAAGTACTGTGGCACAGAAAGCCCCATGAAAAGAGAGAAGCCTATAATGAACTTAGTCCTGAAGCTGTTTAGGTTGCAAAACTGTAGGAAACCCAAACCAGCTGAAGCTGCTCTTCCCACAAGTGAAAAACAAACGAAGTTAATCTAAATTTTAATAGAATTTAAACTGTAGCTTATAAAATATGCTCATAATGTATTAGAGGATATCTTGAACTACAACCAAGCAAATAAATAAACTTTGCTTCTTATCTGTCCAAAACTAATTTAATTTCTACGCAAATGAAATGTGGAGCAATTCAACTACAACCTTGATAAAGTCATAAACGAGGAGTACATACCCACATAGGCAAAGAGGACACAGTACAAAGCTGCCACAATGGGAAATGGTATAGAAGCGAGAACAGCTCCGAATTTTCCTGTTTATGACCAGAATTATGATGCCATCAAATTAATATTTGAACAAAAATCACAGAAACATTTTTTAACAAATGTGAAAATGATCAATAAATTAAATGCTGATTAACGAATAGTCTAAATTAGGCGAAATCAAAGACATATAACAATAGAAATCCTAAATACAGGATGCCACACCTAATACAGAGAAGAAAATCATAAATAATGCTGATATTTGAACAACTCTTCGGCTTCCATTTCGTGTCAATCCCAGAAGACCTGCATTTTCACTACAAAGAAACAGAATGCATTAGAACACAATGTTGAGAGATCAGATGGACAAATTTATCCACCCACCCAACTGTGCAATCAAATACAGCTTACTTACTGCACAAGTTACAGATGTCAATTCAGGGAGCCCCACTTTTTTTTTTTTTTTTTTTTATATTTGCCTCCATTTTGTATATACTTTTTATAGTAACACAACATGAAAATTCTAAGCTTAAACATTTAAGTAATATTGGCTATTGTTACCCAGTTGCTTGTTGATTATTTATGCTGCTGGGTTGAGACAGCCTTCAAATTGGTGACACACACACTCTTATCTAAAGTTTGGTTAACGAAAGCTACTAACGAACTTTCAAAATTTAAGTTGCCTTACACTGAAGCAGTGGTGCCACTTCCTGTGCCAAAAAGACCATCAAGCAGTATTCCTATTCCCTGAGATTCAAAAATTTGAACCAGTGATCTTGATCCCAGAACCATCAGACTAAAATTGCATAACAAAAGTGAGAAATGATAAAAGTGCTAGCTACCTGCCAACCAATACCGCGGCTAAGTACAGAAGGTGGCATAGGAGTGGCGCTCCCATATCTTGATGCTGCAATAAAAGTACCTGTAGACTGCACAAGAAAAGAAGGAAAAAAAATTTCTCATCATGAATGTAATACAGCTTCTCATTCCACACATTCCAAGAGAAGAATGATAATTCAATTCGCGATGGAAGAATGGTTATGCATGTATCTTAACAAGTACATTAGTTGAAGTTAAATTTAGAAGTGTTTAAATTTAGAGAATATCAATCATATAAGGATTTTCTCAATTTCCATCAGGATGTTTACCCAAGTATATAGAGGTTATTTCTTGAGATATCTACAATTGTTACATTAGCGAACATTCTCATCATAATTCACAACCTGCAGTACCATGCTTACCGGAAAAAAATAAAGGGCTTTAAGTATCCTCATTTCAGTAAAAGTTAATCTAATGTAAAAAGCATATCAATGATTGTCTAGATAAATCAAACCTCAATAATAGCAACCAAAGAAGAAGCCATCATTGCAAAAGAATCGCCAGCATTAAAACTGGGACCACCCCACTGAAACGGATATGGAACCCTTATCCTGCAGATGAGAAACAAAATTTTGTTAAGGTTGTGAAAATGCTACTAGCACAGAAATACTAAAGTTCCAGAGTAAACATTTGCAAGTGTTCAAAGAAGCGAATTCACACAAACAACGTTAAAGAGCATGGATCTAGAAATGGAAATGCTGATGATTCAGCAAGAGATGAACTGATGGGAGTTGCACTTAGGTTTTTATGTGTATGCTCACCATGGAGCGGCACTAATGAGTCCAGAACGATCAGTACGACAACTGAATTGAGTGTTTGGGGAAGTTTTATCATATGCCCCAACTAGAGTCAAAACTTCAGCATATCCCCACACAATAGCAACGGTGAACAGGACTGCAAATCGCTCAATGATGCCTCCTCTAGATTTTATCAAATGGGGAAAGTACTGCAAAGAATCAGTTACACACAACATCAGAGAAGCCTTAGCAAACAAATGAAAAGTTCAATTTCAAAAAGTTAATAGTAAACCCAGCATATATATAAAATTACATATTACAACAAATAGAAAACAATCAAAATTTTGTTACATAGTTCTCGTATCATTAAGGAACATGTTAACATTTCACAAATATAGATAAAATCCAGTTTTATCAGGAATGCAAGAAGAGGTAGAAGGATCAATTTGAAACACAAAGCTCGTACATCTGTGAATTCTTATCTTCACATTTGGAGGGGAAGTAGATAAATAAAAAGTGTTAGGATATGGATATACGGTAATCATAATATAACAGAAAAGTAACTGCCGTAGACAATAACGGTTTTGAAAGAATAACCTGAGATATGAGAACCAATATCAGTAATGCTGGGAGTCCAATTTCAATGCATTTTGCCAGCTACAAGCATCAATCCAAGAGTTACTTTGACAAAAAAATAAACAGTTGAAAAAAAGAAAATGCAACCCAACACAAAGAGTTTTGCATAAATTAGATGCATCCAGAGTCCAGACTTCCCTGTTGTATTACGTTCATTATTAAGATCCTCCATTAACATTTAGCCTTTTACACGTAATAAAAGTTCAGCACTTTTACCTGAGGGAAACCTAGAGCATAGAACCCAAGTCCAGTAAGAGTTACCAGAGGAACTGCGGCAAGAGGGTTAAGAAATCTACGAGACAAGAAAATAAACCGAGGCCACCAAGTAAAATTTTTGTGCTATGAGAAACTATAAACCTTAATTCAATATGGCGTTTTTGCATCATCATACCTTCCAAAAATTCTCCAGAAGCCAAAGAAACCAATTATCATATGAAAAAGTGATGCCATAATGAGTGCCCCTTGGATAGCTCTCATTGACTGTTTAAACCTCTGCAAAATGACTCAAAAAACCATAAAAACTTATCGTAAGTACTGCAAATCCATGAAGTCAATAACAAACAGAATCACCAAAGAATTTACCTGATGAGGATCAATATACATGTTGAATCTGTTTGAGATGGCAATGGAGACAGTTGGGATAATGAAAGCATAGGAACCACCCATCACAACTGGAAGCCGAGTTCCAAACAGAGTTTGAGTGAGCGTGTTTAAGCCGGCAACAAAGAGCAAAGTATTTATCACTTCAGCCTTCTCTCGCTATTGATGAACATGGCGACACCAACATTCAGTTCGGAATATATTATAAATCTGAATGAATTATAGGAAATGATAAATTGAGTTTTCGTTTAACAATCCATACATTGCCACCACCCATTAAAGGAACAAGTATTGTCGGGATGAGAACAGTGGTTCCGAGCATCACCAGGTAGTGCTGAAATCCAAGAATTGCCGCTTCAGCTGCATTTCATGAAACAAATTTTAGCAATTTTACACTCCTGTAACGTAAAAAGGTGCATAATCACATTATTTACTTGATTAAATCCGTGATCGGAAAAAACCGTATGGTATAAATGCAAAATGATAGAATCCGGAAATTTTCTTTTTCTCTATGTTCTTGCTGAGCGACTTTTCATTTTCATTTATTTGATTTCGTTTTTTTCCGTCTTTCTTTAGTATGATGAACAACGAAACAGAAGACTAACTATTTTTTAAGTAGAAGATTTTTGAAAATGGCATCTACTTTTCTTACTTTTCTCACTCAACAACCTATTTCATTTTGTTTTCTCTCGTTTTCTTGACAACCAAACAGAGCTCATTGAAAAATAAATGAAACGGCTGAGCCATAATTATTTTTGAAATTATCAATAAAAATAAAAAATAAAAAACAAAAACAAAAGCGCATTAAAAGAATTAGAAGCAGAATCTGAATCAAAAGACAAAGCCAAAGCCAAACAAAAACAGAGCAAAACACATACAAAAACATAACGTTTGAGAAATTATGCAAAGCTAAATTCCTTATTGTTAGAAATAAAAGACAATGACGCAGCTGACTACTAGCATTTTGGAATTACCAATGGTAGACAAAATAAAAATATCAGAAACAAAAGAGCATTAAAAACTAGAAGAATATGAACAAAAAGATAATGCAAAACCAAAACAGAGTAAAAACAACATAAGAAAAGAGGAAGAGAGAGTACCCCAAGAAGGAGAGCTGGAAACGCAGAAGTCGACGCCAGGAAGTTGATCTTTGACGGGATGTGGCTGAAACTCATCAAGTTTTGGTTTTGGGCCTCCTCCGGCGGCAGCCATTGTTGCTCTCACTGTCTCACGTAGTCAGTGTTTTGTGTTTAAAGTGAAAGGAAGGTGCTTGAGATATAGAAATATAAATTAGAAGGAAAGCGTGTTGTGTAAGAAAAAGTTGTGATTGTGATTGTGATTGTGATTGTGATTGTGATTTGTGATGATTCGGAAAATGTAAGGGAAAGTATAGAATAAACGCAGGTTAGGCGGCGTGGTTGTGACTATCTGCAGCTACTCATTCATCATTTCTCCCCCATGGAGATTCTTTTCCTGCACCACATTGACTGTGACCTCGCTCACAAACTTTTTCTTGTTTTTTTCAATCAAGTTTATGTTACGTATAATGAAATGAATTTTGGAAATCATCAAATTATGCGTTAAGTTTTGAAGAACACCATGTCCATTATTATTATTTATTTTTTTATATATATCTGGATATATTGTGATAATTAAAAAAAAATCACTATAAAATAGAAAAGAAGCTAAGTTTTAATTAATTATGAAACTAACGGAGCGTGTTGGTGGGGTGAGCCGTTGGAAGGTTTGATTAAAGCGAATAATAATATCCACATTTTAACACAAATTAAATTGTGCATGGCTTCAACACTGTGGGTGTAACGTATACATCAAATCATTTATTGTCCTAAATAAAAAACAATTATAATGTATATGTTATGATTATGATTTATGATCAGATTTTAAATGCATAAAATATTTTTATTACTTGGTCGTAAAGATAGTTATGTTACACTTACATCCTTTAGACTGTTTTAAACAGTAGACTTTTCTTTTTTTTATTTTGGGTTATTCTAATTCTACATTGCATGTGACTTAAAGTCTTCTAACGGAGCTTCTTATAAGGCTCCATTATATTTTAAAGATAAGATCAATGTGCTTTATGTGTCTTCAGTTCACTAGATAATTGAGAAACCGGTTACCAACTAGCTGTTACTTTTCAAAGAGTAAACTACTTTTTCCTAAATAATAGTTGGATGACACTCTCCTATTTAGCATTTTTAAAATACAATTTTATTATTTAAATTTATATTATGTTTTCAATTTCGGTATCATTGTAACTCCATACCACTATTATTTACTTTCTCAATCATCACTCACTAAAACTCTTCAAACCATACTCTCATCAACTCTATCAATCGTCGGTAATTAAACAATTAAGGTTTACGTAACTGCCCCTCCCAAGTCAAATTCTGATTAATCCCAACAACCAAAATCCAACTTTCAACCACCAAAAGATTCATCGGTCTTCCCTCTTCAAAAATTCTAACAATCTATATTGAGTTTGCTCTCTGTTCGCTGTCGAAATATAAATTTAGATAATAAAATGGTATTTTAAACGTTTATAAGTGGAAAAGTATAGTTAAACCATTATTTGGATGAGTAAAAGTGGTTAACTCATTTTTCAAAACCAGATACTATATTTATTGTATTATATTGTTGCTATTGAGCATGTCCATATAATTTTTTAAATATTTTTTTTGTAAGATTTGTATCTATTAGTTAGTGCATTATTTATTATTTTTTTTTTTTTTTGTATAATTGAAGTCGTGGCAAAAATATTAGGCGTGAAGCATGAGATAGAGTTTAGTCCACTTAATCTCAATTAATCATTTATTAAACGTTAGGTGGAAGGTAGAGCTAGCACCTTTTATATTTATACAACTATTTTTAGTTGCCATTTGAAAACGATGTTTAATCATTCCCTAAACCTTATTCAAATTTTGAAAGGGTATTGCACATGCATTTTCTTTCTTTATTAGTTTGGGAGAAATGTTAATTTCGTATGAATTAATTTGAAGTCTCAATGTCTACAAGGTTTCAAAAAAAATTTTTTTTTTTTTTTATCACCAGAGGTGTATGGGTAAGCTTGTGGACACTTCAACTAATTCTTCAGAGCCCTTAAATTACCTATCAGGGTAAGAGCTTTAATGACCATCTCTATTAGTCTTTTGGAGAATTCAAACTCAGGAGTTCATGAAATCTCATTTTACTCTTTTATCAATATGTCAACTAGTGGTGGTTCCAGGTTTCAAATGTTGCTTCCATTGGTTTTAAGTCAGAATTAATTAAGATTTTTTTTTTTTTTTTTCACTAAGCCAATTCAATTTTGTTAATTTGATTAATGGGGAAATGCAATGAAGCTAGTGGTGGGTAGGTTCACCTAAGTAACCCACTCTTCACAAACTTTGGAAATATGTTTTCATTCATTTATCCCATATACTGCAATTCACCATGTGTGTCATTGGGTAAAGTTCTAACTACTATATACTTTATTATTGGCTACCAAAAATTTTGAATTTCATAAAAAAATTGTTTGATTGAATTTAATTGGTGTACCCAATGGAGTGTAAGTAGTAAAAAGCCTTAATGTATTGGGGATATAATAAAGACAAACAAAATTAGTGTAAGTCATCCATTACTTGTTGCACAAATTGTGTAATGGAGTCAAAGGAGATGTGCCAACTCAAACTTGTGTTGATTGTTGAAGAATAGCATGCCCACTTATGACTAATACAATACGATTGATGTTTGATTACTTGTGATAAAAGTAATATTAATTGTAGAAATTTTAAATGTCTTTCAGCCAAGGGCCCTGGATTGGAATTTGAATCAATCACAGTTACTTAATAATTAATTTTCAAATTTTAAATATTCAAAAACATGTGTATACATTTGGTAATGCTTGAAATGTGGGCTACACACCATTGAGTCAGACCTTCATTAGGCCTAATTGTCATCCCAGGCCCATCTCAACCTGCTTCATTAAACTTTATGTTTATAATGGCCACAAACAGACAAGTTAAAATTCTAAAACAAATTAAAGTAATATTTTAGAAGCTCGAGCTTGACAGCATAGTGGTGTTGCGTTTATATATATACTCCTTAATAACATTATTAACCCTCGAATGCGTTAAGTACATTGTACTTTACGTGCTCTCAAAATTAATGACGGATAATTTAAGATTTTTTTTTTTTTTTTTTTTAAATATGTTATACTCTTCGTTAATATAACATGAGTGTTATTAGAGTAGCCATCAAAACTCTTATTAGACTATTATTGGTACAGAAATCTACATCAACTAGAGTGATCCGATCAACCTTAGCAAGATCGGAACTGGTGTGTGCTTGATTACGAATAACCAGCAATGAATAAATAATGAATGCAGTAAAGTAAATGGAAAAAAAGATTTTAAAGTGGTTTGGTGAGATAAACTCTTGAGCCTATGTTCACTGTTCTTTTTATTTGCTATGAGAGCTTACAATAGTGATTATAGGAATATTTTCCAACCCCTTCCTCATCGTTTGAGGAGGTTTATATACAACGTTTGTACAAAGGAAAGAGCGAAAATAAAGGGATTACAATTAAATTGAAATGCAACTCCAATATTTTCGTGATTGGGCGTTGTGATTGCGCAAAGATTGCTATCAATCTGATCATTCATAAGATATCTGGGATTTGAAGTTATCCGGGAATTGGTTGAACGATCTGTCGGATTGTTCGCGACTAGCTTGTTCTAGGTTGAGCTATATCTCAATGAGCTTATGCCGGGTCGGACAATCGGTGGAGTCGAGCTGATTCTGGATCGAACTATATCCTCGCGATGCTCCGAGCTTGGTAGAAAAATCACACACAACAACTGTCCCCCAGTGTTCGATGCTCGCTTCGAGCTCCGAAAACTATTGCTCGATTTAACATCAAGCTCGATGTCGTTAGTAGGCCATCAGACACAAGTTCGGTTGAGCTTCAAAGGTCGAACCCATGCCCGGTTGATGTACTTCACACGTGGATCTTCTCACCTATGTGACACCTATCAAACTTAAAATATGAATGGTTAGGACAATTATGTAAATTCCACGCGGTCATGTCGCATTAAATGCGGCAGCCTTTGGCAGTCATGTTTTGTCACGCGTGGGCGACTATAACTGTCCATGCGTGGAGTTGAGGCGATGTGCGGTGACGGTTATGATTACAGCAATCTAACGGTTCATCACCCCTCACTGATGGTTGACACGTGGCCATGTCCAAGGGCTAGGATTGCTCGATAATTAGAGGGTCGGGATTCACTATAGATCGATGGCTACGATCTAACCCCGCCTTTTCATCTCCCATGCAAGCTACTATAAAAGCGAGTGAAGTCGTTAGACACTTACTCAACTTGTTAAAATTCTTTGACGTCTTTGGCTTATTTTGTTGCTACTTCATCATCATCACGGTGTTCTTTCCGGCGAGTTCTTCCCACTCTCTTATTCCGGTAAGGCTTCTTTCCCTCTCTTTAGTTTCTTTCTCTATTTTTGCGTTTACTAGGGTTTTTAAGCGTGTCTTCGATGGTCTTGGGTTTAAGAAGGGTTTAACGCGGTGGCCGTCGGAATCCTGGATAGGTTGCATGCATTCGTTATCTAGCGCGAGCTATCTCGGGTGCCTAAACTGAAAGCAAAGTGTGGATAGGTCGTCGAGTCTTTTGAGCTTTGACACATGTTTGCTTGTGTTCCATGTACCTAAAAGTGACCTTTAATTATGTCTTCTTCCAACAACCATACGATTGATCTCATGTTCGATTCACCTATGGGATCGGCAGTCCTCGGGGGTATAATCCTTGAGGTTTCCAAGGAAATCATCATATGAAGCTCGGACCTCGACGCAGTGAGCTCGTCCAATTATGCCTCAGTACAATTGGCTCAATCCAAGTGATCTCCAGTTCATAGGCTACGGAGGGAACTGCAATCCTCAATTAATGTCGAGGACCTAATGCACATAAGAAGACTTATATGTCGTAACTCAATTTGATGGTTCCCATGGATTCCTCTTGGAAGAATCCCCTACCCGAATGGGTGGCAATCTCTGAGACCCTCTTCAGATTCGGGGTATTCATTCCCCCTCATCATTTTATTGGTAGCGTTCTGAGACGGTTCAACATCGTTCCTCTCTAGCTATCTGCAAACTCATACGTCATAATCATAGGTCTATATATAGCATACATGATCTCTGATTTAGGCAAGCCATCCGTCGAGAAGCTCGCCCATCTGTATAGACTAAAGAAAGGGCAAGACCAGATGTACTACATTTCCAATGCGAGGAAGGTATGTTTTAATAGGCTAG